CGGGGGTGCCATTGTCGCAGGGCAAGACACCATCGGCACAGAGGCCAGTGGCCGCATAGGTGCTGGGATGCATCCGGCCATGTGGGACCTCGGCAAGTTAGCGGGCAGCTGGTTGAAGAGGGATGGTTGCCATCTCCGGGGCATGGCGTGCGCGCCCACAGAGAGGGCTCTGAGTGCCGCCTCTGGCACACGTGCCATAGGTTCGCCACCACTGCCCTAGTAGTATGAACTAGCCCAGGGGTAGGCAACCTTGGCTCTTTTATGTCTCATGGACAACTCCCAGAATTCCTGAGCCAGCCACGCTGAGGGGAAAGGGAGAGGTTTCCAAGCTGAGCCATGCTGGCTCAGGAATTCTGGGAGTTGAAGTCCACGAGTCATGAGGGGGCCAAGGTGGCCTACCCCTGAACTAGCCATTTCTATATCAACAAATCAATCTAATCAGTAAAACGCCCAAAATCAAAGGATCATTTTTTTTCTCCCCCACCTCAAGCACAAAGTCCAGAAGCGGTTTCCAAGTAGAACCAGACGTACTGATATCCTTTTCTTCGATCGAAACAGTCCCGCTGGATTTTTGACGGTTCATAAAAGCCGTTTCTTGCCCTCCCTTCCTCTGCTGACTCCTTCCTTCCTTTTTTTTTTCCCCCGGCCTGGCAGATTCGGAGGAGTCCAGCCCCTTCACCCCGGTGGCCGATGAGGACAGCGTGGTCTTCAGCAAGCTGACCTACTTGGGCTGCGCCTCCGTCAACGCCCCCCGGAGCGAGGTGGAGGCCCTGCGGATGATGGCCATCCTGCGCAGCCAGGGCCAGACCTCGGTGGACGTGACGCTCTCCGTGCCAAACGTGTCTGAGGGCACCGTGAGGTAGGCGCCCGCCTTCTCCAGGACGTGACTCTACTGCCTCCGGGCCTCTGTCGGGCCCTCGCCTGGCCGTCTTTGCGCCAGGGGCTCTGCTGCTCTGGAAGGGCACTCGTAAAGTTGCTCTCTCTGTCTCTCTCTTTGGGAAGAAAGGACCGGGATGGCAGCCAGCCCTGACTACTTAAGCAGGGGCTGCATGTCGCGATTTTAGGGAGGGTTTCCCCGCTGGGAGGGTCCAAATACTTGGGGCTACTCACAGCTAGTCGCTTGTTTTAGCATATCCCTGGATGAGGGATCTCCAGACTTGGCAACTTTAAGAGTTGTCGACTTCAACTCCCAGAATTTTCTCGTCTCGTCTCGTCTTCTCCCCTCCTCTCCTCCATCTCTCCTCTTCCTTCCTTCCTTCCTTCCTTCCTTCCTTCCTTCCTTCCTTCCTTCCTTCCTTCCTTCCTTCCTTCCTTCCTTCCTTCCTTCCTTAGTTCATACCCAGGATATCTTCCTTTCCCTTCTCTTCTTTACTTTTCTTTTCTTTTCTTTTCTTTTCTTTTCTTTTCTTTTCTTTCCCTTCCCTTTCTTTTCCTTTCCTTTCCTTTCCTTTCCTTTCCTTCCTTCCTTCCTTCTTTCCTTCCTTCCTTCCTTCCTTCCTTCCTTCCTTTCCTTCCTTCCTCCCTTCCTTCTTTCCTTCCTTCCTTCCTTCCTCCCTCCCTTCCTTCCCTAGTTCATGCCCAGGATATTTTCCTTTCCCTTCCTCTTCCTTCTTTTCTTTCCCTTCCCTTCCCTTCTCTTCCCTTCCGTTCTTCCTTCCTTCCTTCCTTCCTTCCTTCCTCCCTCCCTCCCTCCCTCCCTTCCGTAGTTCATACCCAGGATATTTTCCTTTCCTTTCCTTTTTTCCTTCCTTCCTTCATACCCAGGATATTTTCCTTCTCTTCCTCTTCCTTTCTTTTCTTTCCCTTCACTTCCCTTCCCTTCTTTCCCCTCCCTCCCTCCTTTTCTGGGAGTTGGTTCACAAGCCTTAAAGATTGCCAGGTTTGGAGACCCCTGCCCTAGCCTAATGGGGAGGAGCCTCTGTACTTTAAAACTGGTGCTGGATGAAATGAACGAGTAGAATGACGAAGCCGGAGGTTCCGGGGAAGGAGGGAGGATTCGCCAAGCTGCCCGTTGACATCGCTCTTTACCCCTTGCATGGGTTTTCCTCCCCCCCCCCCAGGTTGCTGGAGCCTCCAACCAACACCGAAATAGCCAACTACCCCATTTACAAGATCCTGTTCTGCGTGCGAGGTCACGACGGGACTCCCGAAAGCGACTGCTTCGCTTTTACAGAAAGCCATTACAACTCTGAGCTCTTCAGAATTCACGTCTTCCGATGCGAGATCCAGGAAGCGGTAAGTTCAACAGGTGGAGCTGTGTGTGTGTGTGGGGGGGGCTGGGGTCCCTAGGCAGGAAGCAGGTGAGGAGACCTGCCTTCCTTCTGTTGGAATGTGAGGCTGGACTTCCACCTTCTCCATCCTTCATTCTCCTTCCTCTCCTTCTCCTCCTCCCCCTCTCCTCTCCTCCCCACCTCCTCTCCTCTCTTCTCTTCTTTCTCTCTTTTTTCTTCCTTCCTTTCTTCCATCCTTTCCTCCCTTCCTCTCCTCCTCCTCCCCCCCTCCTCTCCTTTATCTTTTTTCTCTCTGTCTCCTTCCTTCCTTCCATCCATCCTTTCCTCGCTTCCTCTATTTCTTCTCCTCTCCTCTCCTCTTTCTCTCTGTTTTCTTCCTTCCTTCCCTCCTTCCTTTCTTCCATCCTTTCCTCCCTTCCTCTCCTCCTCCCTTCCCCTCCCCTTTATCTTTTTTCTCTCTGTCTCCTTCCTTCCTTCCCTTTCTTCCATCCATCCTTTCCTCCCTTCCTCTACTTCTCCTCCTCCCCCTCTCCTCTCCTCCCCACCTCCTCTCCTCTCCTCTCTTCTCTTCTTTCTCTCTTTTTTCTTCCTTTCTTCCAACCTTTCCTCCCTTCCTCTCACCCCCTCTCCTCTCCTTTATCTTTTTTCTCTCTGTCTCCTTCCTTCCTTCCTTCCTTCCTTCCTTCCTTCCTTCCTTCCTTCCTTCCTTCCTTCTTTCCTTCCACCCATCCTCGCTTCCTCTTTCTTCTCCTCTCCTCTCCTCTTTCTCTGTTTTCTTTCTTCCTTCCCTTCTTCCTTTCTTCCATCCTTTCCTCCCTTTCTCTCCTCCTCCCTTCCCCTCTCCTTTATCTTTTTTCTCTCTGTCTCCTTCCTTCCTTCCATCCATCCATCCTTTCCTCGCTTCCTCTATTACTTCTCTCCTCTCCTCTTTCTCTCCTCTCCTCTCCTCTTTCTCCCTGTTTTCTTTCTTCCTTCCCTTCTTCCTTTCTTCCATCCTTTCCTCCCTTCCTCTCCTCCTCCCTTCCCCTCTCCTTTATCTTTTTTCTCTCTGTCTCCTTCCTTCCTTCCCTCCTTTCTTCCATCCATTCTTTCCTCCCGTCCTCTACTTCTCCTCCCTCCCTTCCTCCCTCCCTTCCTTCTCCCCTCCTCCTCCTCCTCTTCTTCCTCTTCATCTCCAGGTGAGCCGGATCCTGTACAGTTTTGCCACCGCTTTCCGCCGTTCCGCCAAGCAAGTCCCTCTTGCAGCCCCGGTTACTCCAGAGATGCCGGACAGCGACATTTTCACCTTTTCGGTCTCGCTGGAAATCAAGGAGGACGATGGGAAAGGCTGCTTCAGGTATCGCCTTCCCCTTGAGCACTTGGCGAGGCTTCTGATTTGACAGGCCCTGGGCAACCTTACCCTCCAGAATCAGATTCAAGGGTTTTAACGTGCAGCTGTTTCAGGGTGTACTTTTAGCATTATTCTTGCCACACAAAAAAAAATCAATCTTGGTAGAAAGGGATTAAATTCTCATTGCTGCTGGCCATTATTTAGAACTACATTTTTGTAACACGGAAGCTGTTTTTAGTTTTCTAACTCTCTCAATTCTGGCCAGTTTATACTGCCTGACTGAGCCAAAGAAATGTGAACAGATTCTTCAATTAATTGTCCTAGGCCAGGGGTAGGCAACCTTGGCTCTTTTATGACTTGTGGACTTCAACTCCCAGAATTCCTGAGCCAGCATGGCTCAGCATGGCAACCTCTCCCTTTCCCCTCAGCGTGGCTGACTCAGGAATTCTGGGAGTTGAAGTCCACGAGTCATAAAAGAGCCAAGGTTGCCCATCTCTGGCCTAGGCCTAGGCTGCTTTATGACTCGTGGACTTCAACTCCCAGAATTCCTGAGCCAGCATGGGGGGAACTATGGCCCCTTCATGACTGATGGACTTCAACTCCTGAGCTGAGGAAATATGAGCTAGCATGGGGAAAATATGGCCCCCTCATGACTGATGGACTTCAACTCCTGAGCTGACTGATGGACTTCAACTCCCAGAATTCCTGAGCCAGCATGAGGGAAACTTTGGCCCCCTCATGACTTGTGGACTTCAACTCCCAGAATTCCTGAGCCAGCATGGCTCAGCATGGAAACCTCTTCCTTTCCCCTCAGCGTGGCTGGCTCAGGAATTCTGGGAGTTGAAGTCCACCAGTCATAACAGAGCCAAGGTTGCCTAGCCCTGTCCTAGGTCTTCACACGGGGTGAGGGATGGGGAAATCTTGGCTTGTTTTCTCTCACCTTTCCCTAATCCAGGAAGCCAGGATTGCAGTCCAGAGGCGCTGGGTTGTGGGGGAGGTGGCTTGATCAATTAGCCTGCCTCAGGTTTCCTTTTCCGTGATCGGCTGCTCAGCCTCATCCTGACAGCCCGGTGGAAGCCAAACAGATGATGATTTAATAGCTCCTTGAATAGAATGGCTCTCCCTTTTTAAAAAGTCAGTTGGATCACAAGGGGGAGATCCATCTGGAAGTCACCTGGGGTGCCTCAACATTGGGAGACTTTGAATTTCACCTTCTTTGTTTCCCTTCCCCCCCCCCCCCAGTGCCGTTCCGAAGGACAAAGACAGGCAGTGCTTCAAGTTACGGCAAGGAATCGACAAGAAGATTGTCCTCTATGTGCAACAGACCACGAACAAAGAGCTGGCCATCGAGAGGTAAGGCGGCACCTGTCGGGCCTCAGCCCCGGCGCTTAAGGCCGAGGCAGGTGAGAGAACGAGCAGGGGTGTCCAACCTTGGCGACTTTTAAGACTTGTGGGCTTCAACTCCCACGCTGGCTGGGGAATTCTGGGAGTTGCAAGTCCCCAAGTCTTAAACTTGCCAAGGTTGGACACCCCTCCTCGAAATATTTCATTATCTGCTATCCCCAAGGTTGCTTTTTCACCAGGCATCTGTACTCTTTCTTGTTTTTCTTTGAAGACGTTTCGCTTCTCATCCCAGAAGCTTCTTCAGCTCTGACTGGATGGTGGGGAAATGGAAGGATTTATACTCCTTGCAGACAGCTGGTCATTTGCGTCCTTTTAGAGAGTCGTTGAGGCCGCTCGAAGGTTTGTCTGTGTCCTCAAAGTCACCTGAGTGGTGCAAATGGGAGTGGAGCCTTCTTGGAACTGCTGAAAGGATTTGTGTTGTAGAGTGGAGGTAGATGATATCGTGTCTCTCCCCCTCTGTTGAGGGAGGGCTGTTCAGTTTTGACCTAGATGGCCTCTTTGACCCCTCTTTCAAACCAGCGGTCCTCTCTGTCCAAAATGTGGACAGACCCTGAGGACACAGGTAAGCCTCCAAGTGGCCTCAACGACTCTCCAAAAGAAGGCAAATGACCAGCTGTCTGCAAGGAGGATAAATCTTTCCATTCCCCACCATCCAGTCAGAGCTGAAGAAGCTTCTTGGATGAGAAGCAAGGGGTCTTCTCTGTCCAAAATGTGGACTTTGCTGTCTTCGAAAGAGCGGCCTTCGTCTTTCAAATGCAGATGGATGGCTGAATCTTGTCCTGATGGGTTTGTTCTCCTATGTCAGTGGTGGCGAACCTATGGCACGGGTGCCAGAGGTGGCACTCAGAGCCCTCTCTGTGGGCATGCGCGCCGTCGCCCCAGTCCTAGGCCTTCAGCTGGGTTTCATAAAACCTTTTCGCTTTAGGCCTCCGCCGCCGTGTGCAAAAAAAAAAAGGTTCAATCAATCGGTCAATTTCAACTTCTCGCGGGGGAAAAAATGTTCTCACAAAGTTGGAATTGATTGATTGGACTTTTTATTCCCACCCAGTTTGCTGTTACCACCACAGCCACGCCCAGCCAATGGGCCATGCCCAGCCCATGGGCCACACCCACCCGGCAGCCGACGATGCATAAGTGGGTTTTGGGGTGCAGTTTGGGCACTCGGTCTCTAAAAGGTTTGCCATCACTGTCCTATGTTGTGCCATGGGTTTAATGAAGTGACACAACCACACAAGACAGTCCAGTTGCCTCGTGACAAAGCATCTTTGGGACAACCAGGACCTGGATGACTGAGAACCTCCCTAGACCAGTGTTTCTCAACCTTGACAAGTTTAAGGCATGTGGACTTCAACTCCCAGGTTGAGAAACACTGCCCTAGACATTCATTATCTGCTGCGTTTTCCCTCAAACTCACCTGGGACTTTACCCGTTTTGGAAAGCCTTCCTGGGAATTAATGATTGCCTTTTCCCGAATGAAGTCCCCCTTTCAGGCTAAAAAGTGAGGGGTGGTCTTCAGAGTAGAGCAGACCATGTCAAACACAAGGCCCGGGAGGCCGGATGCGGCCCGCGAAGTGGTGTCATGTGGCCCGCGAAGCCATTCTGGAAACAGTGAGGGAACGGCCCCCTCTGCCTTGGCCCTGGTGCATGCCGGCCGGGAGCCATTGTACAATTTTGTGGTGGCCATCTATGTTGAAAGGCATTCAGTCTTAGCTCCACAAGGCCGTCCGGAAACAGCGAGGAACCAGCCCCTGCCGTGTCGGCCCCACCCTCTGGATGCATGCTGGGGAGGTGTCATCCTTTGTGAGGAATGAAGAAATGCACCATCGCTTGGAAGTGGCCAGCAAATGGCCCTCACCTACTTCACATATCCGGCTTGATGGGCTCCGGTGGAGGGGTTTCAGCAGGCAGTGAGGTTCCTCCAATGGACCATGCCTTGGCGCTTGCCCTGGTCCCACCCCCTTCTGCCAGAGACCCTCAGATCTGTCCCACTCCTGCCCAGGCCCCCACAGGCACCCTTGACACGAACAATGTAGAGCTGGCCACACCCACCCAGTAGGCCACACCCACTCCATCCACACCCACCCAGTAGGCCACACCCACCCTGGCCACACACCCCTGCCCTCCTGAGGGCAACTGCAATGCTGATGCGGCCCTCAATGAAATTGAGTTTGACACCCCTGGAGTAGAGTCTCAAAGGGTGGGTGGGCTCCCTTTGCTTCTTCTGGATTTGGTCAGCCCTTGGGAGGACCTTACCGGGGTCGGTCCGTCTTGCCAACCTCCTCCTCCTTTGTGTTTGCAGATGTTTCGGCCTCCTCCTCAGTCCCGGAAAAGACGTGCAGAGCGGAGACATGCATTTGCTAGATTTGGTAAGTCCTCTTCCTTTCCCCCCACCTCATCTGAACGTGCCCCCTCCCTCCCCGCCACCTGCTACGGGGCGTGCTGTGGTCCATCACGGCCTCTCTCTGTGCTTCTAGGAGTCCATGGGGAAAAGCTCGGATGGGAAGTCGTACATCATCACCGGGAGTTGGAACACCAAGTCTCCGCACTTCCAAATTGTGAACGAGGAGACGCCCAAAGGTTCGTCAAGAGTCTGGGCGACAGGGCCACCCCAGTCCATAGGGCAGTGATGAAATATTGTCCCCCAACCCCCCCCCCCAGAGAACCCCAGAATAGAGGCAGGTCACCTTCGTGGAAGATGCAGGCCAGGAGATCCACACACGGAATGGGACAACTCGCCACAGCCAAGTTAACCAGGGGCTAACTTGCCACGGGACAACTCGCTCTGGGACAATTCAGCAATTCAATTTAATTATCTAAGATTAATTAAAAAATATTTTAATTTTTGTCATTCACATTTCATTTTCTCCCTTCTTTGGCATCCTTTCTTTGATGATTCTGTGCCACCATTTGTTCGATATTAGTGTAACTCTTGTCCCATGGCAAGTTGGCCGTGGAGAGTTGGCCATGGCGAGTTTTGGCTATGTTGAGTTGGCCATGGAGAGTTGGCTATGGCGAGTTGGCCATGGCGAGTTGGCTATGAAGAGTGGACCATGGTGTGTTTGCTATGGAGACTTGGCCATGGAGAGTTGGCCATGGCGTGTTGGCTATGTTGAGTTGGCCATGGAGAGTTGGCCATGGAGAGTTGGCTATGAAGAGTTGGCCATGGTGTGTTTGCTATGGAGACTTGGCCATGGCGTGTTGGCTATGTTGAGTTGGCCATGGAGAGTTGGCTATGAAGAGTTGGCCATGGCGAGTTGGCTATGAAGAGTGGACCATGGTGTGTTTGCTATGGAGACTTGGCCATGGAGAGTTGGCCATGGCGTGTTGGCTATGTTGAGTTGGCCATGGCGAGTTGGGTCTCAGGGTCCGTGGACGGCTTCTTGAAACTCCCAGTTTCTTTCCCAGGGTTTCCCTTCCCGTTTTTATGGCAAGTTGAGTAGTGACAGAGGCTAGCGAGCCTCTTAGCAATTCAACCTTGACATCAGGAGTTTTCCTGGCCAGCTTGAAGAGTCTGCCCTGCTCTTCACTGTCCAGCCGCAGCTCATTCTCTAACCATTAGGTTCTGCACTTCTCCACCTCTTCCTCCACCTCCTCCTCCTCCTCCTCCTCTGCAGACAAGGTGCTCTTCCTGACCACAGCGGTGGACCTGGTGATTACGGAGGTGCAGGAGCCCGTCCGTTTCCTCCTGGAGTCCAAAATCCGCGTCTGTCCCCCGAACGAGAGGCTTTACTGGCCTTTCAGCAAGAGAAGCTCGACGGAAAACTTCTTCCTCAAATTGAAGCAGGTGAGACCTCTGAGCTCCTCCCCTTCTCCCACCCTAAATCCCAGCCTGTGGGAGGGGGGGAGGGGGAGGTATATATTAAAAAAGAATTTAAAAAATGAAAGCGGATGGCTCCTGTCACAAAGGGAATTTATAGGCTCTGGATTCTCGGGCCATTTCTGTTCAGCTTGGGAGCCAATCCCTGATGGGTGTTGTGTTGCTCAGATCAAGCAGAAGGACCGCAAGGCCAGCACCGACACCCTCTACGAAGTGGTCTGCCTGGAGAGTGAGTCGCAGAAGGAAAGGAAGAAAACCACTGCCAGCCCTGCCCTCCGGCTCCCCCAGTCCGGCTCCCAAGGCTCCATCATCCCCTCCCCTCCCGAGGATGATGAAGAGGAAGGTAAGGAAGGCTTGGCAGGGCCGCTTTTCCAGGGTGGTCCCCTGCGAGGGGGCGGGGGGCGGGCCGTGGGCTAGCTGCAGCTTCAACGAGAGGTTTGGGGCGTGCCTTCTCCTTGTCCCTCCCTCCCTCTGTAAGATGGATCGGTCCTAAATGCTCTGCCCCACGGGAGGCCAGGTTCCGCAAAGAGGAGGGCCGGGGGAGACACGATATCAGTCTTCCAATGTCTGAGGGGCTGCCACAGGGAGGAGGGGGTCAACCTGTCCTCCAAAGCATCTGAAGGCCGGACAAGGAATAATGGATGGAAACTGATCAAGGAGAGATTCAACCTGGAACTAAGGAGAAACTTCCTGACAGTGAGGACAATCAACCAACAGAAGAGTTTGCCTTCAGAGGTTGTGGGAACTTCATCACTGGAAGCTTTCAAGAAAGGACTGGACTGCCATCTGTTCAGAAATGGTGGAGGGTCTCCTGCTTGGTGGGGGGCTGGACTAAATGACCTACAAGGTCCCTTCCAACTCTGTTACTCTCTAGTCTAGTCTAGTCCAGTCCAGTCCAGTCCAGTCCAGTCTACTCTAGTCTATATTCTATTCTATTCTATTCTATTCTATTCTATTCTATTCTATTCTATTCTATTCTATTCTATTCTATTCCATATTCTATTCTATTCTATTCTATTTTATTCTATTCCAGTCCAGTCCAGTCCAGTCCACTCTAGTCTATATTCTATTCCATTCCATATTCTATTCTATTCTATCCATTATTCTATTCTCTATCCGTTATTCTAATCTAATCTAATCTAATCTATTCTGTTTGTGCTCTCTGAGCTTGTTGGTTTCCTTGCAGAGGTTTCATTACCCAAACTAGGTAATATGATCAGTGCTCGTTAAGCTTGCACTAGCACTGACGATGTTACCTAGCTGGGGTAATGAAACGTCTGCAAGGAAACCACCAAGCTCAGAGAGCACCCAGGGCCCCTCATTTCAACCCCAAGTTACAAACATTTTCCTTTGTTAATACTGGAACAGAAGTTGCCTTCAGAAGTTGTCAGAGGTTCATCCCTGGAAGCTTTCAAGAAAAGACCGGACCGCCATCTGTCAGAAATGGTTCAGGGTCTCCTGCTTAGGCAGGGGGGGGGGGTTGGACTAGATGACCTACAAGGTCCCTTCCAACTCTGTTATTCTATTATAAATCACCCAGTTTGGTCTCTACAAAAGCCGCCCAGCTGCAGCAGAGGCCACTCCTTATGTCTGAAAGGGGCACCGGCTTTGGATTGGGGCAGGAAGCGGGCTTCGGGCAGGCACCCGTGGAAGAATGGCTCCCGGCTGGGGGTGGGGTTACTTTGTTGGCTTTGCTTTCCCCCCTCCCTGAGCCTCCGCCTCCTCCTATATTGCAGATAACGACGAGCCTCTGCTCAGTGGCTCAGGGGACGTCTCCAAAGAGTGTGCGGAGAAGATCCTGGAGACGTGGGGAGACCTACTTTCCAAGTGGTAAGCGCTCTGCTTCCTGCATCCACGTTCCAGAAATTGTCCTGGTTGGAGAATCCAGTCAGGAGAAGGGAGGCATGTAGGCAAAGTCCCAATGCAGCCATTCCACACAAGCCTTGATGATTGAGAATAATTGCTTGTGACTTTCAGACAAGAGGTGCCAGATTAGAATAGATTACGTTAGATTAGATTAGAATAGAATAGAATAGAATAGAATTAGAAGAATAGAATGGAATAAGATTAGAATAGAATAGAATAGAATAGAATAGAATAGAATAGAATAGAATAGAATAGAATAGAATAGGGAATAGAATATGGAACGGAGTGGAGAGGAGAGGAATGGAAAAGAATAGAATGCAGGCGAGAAATAGAATAGTATAGAATAGAATAGAATAGAATAGAATAGAATAGAAAATATGGAATAGAATAGTAATAGAATAGAATAGAACAGAATAACTTTATTGTCACTTTTAATGTACATTAATACATTAAAATGAGATTTTGTTGTATACAGCTCTCATTGGTAACCACTTCCAATATACACTGCATAAACATGACAATAAGAACAACAAAACAACAACAACAATAATCATCATCCTACATACACACACATATGACCCAGAGAAACAACACCGTCTAGTTCGATACATATATATGGCGAGAAAAACGAATCTTGTGAGTTTACCAGTTGGGTGGCATAGGGAACAAAGCTGTTGCAGAATCTGGTAGTCCTGCTATAAATCCTTCTAAACCTCCTCCCAGAGGGGAGCAACAGAAACAGACCGTGAAGTGGGGGTGTGTGGAGCCTCTAACAATGCTCCAAGCTCTAAGCACAT